CTGATGATGGTGATGGTGATGGTGATGGTGGTGCTGATGATACAACTGATGATGATGATGCTGATGATGATGCTGTTGTTGATGGTGATGGTGATGGTGATGATGATGAAACTGATGATGATGATGATGATGCTGATGTTGATGATGATGCTGATGATGATGATGATGCTGATGATGATGCTGCTGATGATGATGATGATGATGATGTTAATGATGATGATGACGACTATGATGATGCTGATGATGACGGCGCGTGTGATGATAGCGGTGAAGGTGGCGATGCTGCGCACCCAACACACTGCAATGCGAACCGCGGACATGCAACGCAAAGCAAGGACAGTACATCGAACGAACCGCTGGGCCCAAGCAACAAAAACAAACAACGGCGCGCCCTGGCAGCCCTGCGGCTTCCCTTTGCGTGGAGAAGTGTGTGGAGCTGGTCCAACCGGTACAAGTGGATCGAACTGGTCATAGACCTTGTCTTTTTAAAATAGGGTCAGGCATAGGACTGGTCGTTTCCAATGACGAATTGACATATCCGAAGTATTTCTTTTTATAAGTTCGACCTGTTCTATGCCATACCTTTCTTTAATTTACCAGTTCTATGACCAAGTCTATGACCAGATCTATCCAGTTGTACCAGTTCCGCAGTGAAGCAAACCCACAAAAACGAAACAACGAAATTCATCTTACCCAGATGGTGCCTGGACAAAAAGTGTTCACACCCATGGCGGGAAGGCGATGCAACATGATAACAACCACACTAGCGAAATGCCCTTGCTTCGCACACCTCCACCCCGATCCCAAAGTTGAAGTGTCCACATTGTGTCCCTGGCCTTTGGTTTACCGCCTAAACCCGTCAACTTTGAATTTAGGGGAGGGGCGTATACATGTTGGTCAAACGTACTTTAATAACTCAAGGTCTTGGCGAGACACGTGTGGACACTTCCAGTCCACCCGCTGGAGGGAGGCAGGGAGAGGAGAGGAGAGAAGAGGAGAGGAGACGGAGGCGGAGGAGGAGGCGGAGGCTGAGGAGGAGGAGGAGGGGGACGAGGAGGAAGAGCAGGAGGAGGAGGAGGAAGAGGAGGCAGTGGAGGACGACGGGGAGGAGGATGGGGAGGAGGAGGAGGAGGAGGAGGATCCTTTGTTTGAAAGTGGGGGTCAGACAAATGGGGGAGGCGAAAGTCAGAGAGACAGTCATTTGCTGGCAGATACGCAGTATGTGCATTTCAGAAAGCATGGACAGGTTGAACGAGCACGCACGCACGTTTGCGCGCGCGGCGCGCGGTTACGACGGCACACGCCCACGCGGGACCACATGGGCACGTGCGCGCGAGCGTCTCAGTTGAAACCGCGCTAAGTTAAGCCCGCGAATCGATCCCAAACCTGTCCACTTGACTTGGTGTGGACAGCCGCGGGCTGGGCACGCAGACGTTCTGGGTGGCGCCGCTTTGGCAAGCCCGCTCCTTGACGCCGCCCCCGCGCCTACGCGCCACCGCCGCGAGTGATTTCTCACCCAGTCGACGGTTCGCCCGTGAATTGGGCATGTCCCTCCACAGGAGGAATATCCAAACATAGTCAACACATACTTTGGGGACGAGTTGTCGGGCTCTTTTGGATGTTCCTGAGCACCTTTGGATTCTTGTTTTTTCAAATCGCTGGTAGGAGGACGTGCCCTACCTAAGACTAATTGGCGCCGCCCCGGTCGGTTCACGATGGCCGCGCCAAGGGCGGCAGCGAATAGCGCGAGGCAGCTTCGTGCTGCGCGATCGCATTGTCCGTGCTCGTCTGGGCTCGAACACGCGCCACGCAGGTACGAGTGAATACAAGAACTTGCGACGTCATTGCCGTCCCAGTTTGCGCGCGCATGCAAATCGTAAGCCGCCTGACCCCAGGCCACACAGTCCGCGTCCGCGAGTTTTCCGCAAGCGCGCGGGGCGCCCAAAGACGGCGCAAGAGTGCAAAGACCACTCTGTCGGGTCGACAGGCCGACGAGCCTCCCCAGAAAAGAATGCATGCATCCGGGAATAATCTTGGCATTGCCTTTGTGTGAAGTTCAAAAACTTAAGAAGATGTTCACACATTTTTGAAGAGAAATATAGACATTCTGGGTAAGTAAAGCTCCCCAGCGCCCTCAAGATATCCCAAAGTTACTTCGTCGGCAATGCCCCCCCGTTCACCCCTTGGTCTCGAAATGGGGACTTGGGGGCCCCTTGCGAGGATCTCACCAACTCGGTCATAACTGGTGAACGCCAGGGCCGCTCCGCAATCCGCATTTATGCGTTGCCATTGGACATCCCTGACGCCCTGGACAGGAAGCGCGATGCGAATCCCGCGCAGGTGCACAGCATCGCCAGTTGGCGGACAGACTGCTTGCCGATTCCACGTCCAGGTGCCAAAACGTTGACGTCGTCGAGGCACGTGGCCCCTCGAGTAGATTGGCGCGCAATGCAGTTCAGCTTTTGTGGGCGGCTGCGCTTCGCCCGGGCGACCTGTTCAAGTCGCGTATGGTCGCCGCCCGAGCCGTTTTCAATGCTTCGCTTCTCCTGCAGACGTCGCGCGAGGACAACCTGCGTGCACTACTTTCCGCCAGCCAGATGTGCCCGCGATGAGGGGCGGCGCCAGCGCCGCCAGGCTAGTCGTTGTCAATGATGCGGTTCCATGCAGGGCATCAGCGGTCGCCCCCATCCCCCCCCCGCATCAGCCACCCCTGCCTTCAAACCAACCAGGGAAGGACACTTAGATACCCAAGGCGCACCAACGATGTTGCATTAACCCTCCCTCCAAGTTTCTTCCTTCTAGGGCCCTACAATAGATTTTTCAGTGCGGGACGCTGGAAGACAACCGTCTGAGAGTCCCCGATCGTGCCAGAATGCAGTTCCTAGGATTTTACGCCGCGATTCAACGTGACTTCTGCGTCCTGATAAGCCGAACTCGTGCCAGAACACCATTCCTAGAACTTCAGCACCGCGGACCATCGTGACGGTTGCGTCTTCACAGTCCTCAAACGTGCGAGAACACCATTCTGGGGGCTTTCAACCATACGAAACCTCGAACTTACTGCACAGTTTTCAGACGAACATGCGCGGCGCTAAGGCGAGAGCAACATTTTGAAAAAGGAACCGCCCTCCATACTTGAAACTGCTGCAAGATCGGATGGCCTTCGGTCCATCCTGCCACCGTGCCTGGATTGTGGGTCAGAGCCCTCAGGGGTGCTTCTTGGGGTCTCTTCGGAGCGCTCTCGGGGGCCTCTTGGTCCAGTTTGGGGGCCTCTTGGGGGCCTCTTGGGAGCCTCTCAAAAACCTCTTGGGACTTCCCCTGGGCCTCTTGGGGGCCTCTTGGGGGCCACCTGGGAGCCTCTTGAGGCTTCCTGGGGGCCTCTCGGGGCCGAGGGCTCGAAATGTCCTTTCGGGTCCACCGTCTGGGCCCCCTGTCTGGGCCCCCTCTTGGATCCGTCTTGGGGGCCTCTCTGGTGCCCTCTTATGCCTTCGGCCCTCTTTGAGGCCTCTTGGGCCGTCTTGGGGCGATCCTGGGCTCCTGTTGGGCCGTCTTGGAGCGTCGGGAAGCCGAAAAGGCGAGAATGCCGAAATCTCTGAAAAACCTGAGGACAAACAATGATTTGTGCCTCTTAGAAGCCTCTTGGAAGGCCACTTGGATGCCTCTTGGAGCGCCTCCTTGGAGGCCTCGTGGGCCGTCTGGAGGCCATCTTGAGCGTCTTGGACCCTCGGCGACTCGTGGCCCGCTCGGACCGTCTTGGGGACCTCTTCGGGCCCTCTTGACCCGTCTGGGGGCCCTCTAGGGCCCGAACAAGTTGTGCGACAAGCCAGCCCGGGCCGCAAGAGATTTGGCCCTGTGGGGTCCGGGTCCTTTCAGAATATGCAAATCCAGAGGACGGGACTACAACAAGGGACCTGAGGACATGCCCACTCCGTGCCCGAAGGCACGGTGGTGGATTTCAAGACGAATGTGCGCGACGATAGTGCGAGAGCCACATTTTGAAAACGACCCGTCCTCCATGCTTGAAGCTGTCGCAAGCTTATCAGAAGAATGTGCGTGGCGCTAAGGCGGCAACCACATTCTGAACACGAGCCGCCCTCTATCACCGCAATTGTTGCACACTTCTAAGTCTGTGCGCGGCGCTGAGGCGAGAGCCACATTTTGAAAACGAAGCGGCCGCTATCCGTGGAACTGTTGCAAATTCTAAGCTTCATGGGGGCAGTCCTCAGGGGAAATGCCTGGCCCGCCGTACCGACACGTCTCAGGGTGCGACAGGGAAGAGCTGTTTGTATTGAAAGCGGATTGAGGAGGGAGGAGGGGGGAGGGAGGAGGGGAGCATGTCGGAAGGGTGAGGCGAGGAGGAGTTCGGATGCCCGTGCCTGCAGCCACTTTTTTGGTCCTCTGGGGGCGACCCCTCCAGGCCCCCACCCTGATCCTATGTCGGCCCCGTATCCAGACCCCCGACGCCGTGACTTGTCCACAGCGTCGACCCCCAGAGGTCTGGACCCCTCCCCCGGGATCGGTTTTTCATCCCGAGTCGTTTCTTTTACGGTCCCGAGGCCTGGTAGAAGGGCCGCCGGAAGCCGAAAGTAGCGAAACACCTCCCGTCGTCCCTGACATCCGACGTTGCGAAGTATAACTGCAGCGCCGCAGAAAATCGCGGCTGGAGCCCCCCATGATCTCTGTGCCATTTTTCGAGCCGGATCGATCCGTGAGGGTCCCGGGGCCCGACGCGGGCCGCAGACGCCCGTCGTGAAGAGCTTGCCACGCCAGGATCTCAGGGGGGATGTTGGGGGGCCACGTGCGAACCCCACCCCTCCCCCCCACGATTTCTGAGGGCGAGGGTGGGGCTCGCTTCGCTCGGGAGCTCCCGCACGCAGCGAACCCCACCCTCCCCCGCAGAAATCATGGGGGGTGGGGGTACAGTGCCGTTTTTGATACATGCTCCGCGTGCGGATCCTGTGTTAAACATGCAAGGATTCAGTACTAAAAACATCGATGAGTTCATGCATGCATTTATTCATACATTAAAAATCATGCATTAAAAATCATAGATTATTTTTTTTGGTGGTGAAATTACCCTGCGACGTACCCAACCCACGTGCATCAAGTGGCAAGAGGAGTAGGCCAACATTAGCGGGAACAGCGATAATGTAGGCGATGTGAATTGCTGTGCAAACTACATGGGATGCGCACGCATTGCACGGCTCACAGGACGACGATCGAAAGAACGAGGATTAAAGCCCCAGGCTCGCGTATGACGTCACTCCGCTGGGCCACCCAGCAGCCCTCGAAAGTGGTGACAGTTTCGCAGATCGCAGCCCCCCAAGGATGGCGAGGTCTAATCTGAATCCGAATATGTCCCCACTCCGCTGGGCCCTCCAGCAGCCCTCGAAAGTGGCGACAGTTTCGCAGATCGCAGCCCTTCGGGGATGGCGAAGTCGAGCCTGAGTCTGCGTAGGACCCACTCCGCTGGCCCCCCAGCAGCCATCGAAAGTGGCGACGGTTTCGCAAATCGCAGTCCCCCAGGAATGGCGAGGTCGAATCTGAGTACCCCACTCCGCTGCCCCCCCCCAGCAGCCCTCGAAACTGGCGACAATTTCGCAAATCGCAGCCCCCCCCAGCGATGGCGAGGTCTAATCTGAGTCCCCGTGGGGGCTCACTCCGCTGGTCACCCCAGCAGCCCTCGGAAGTGGCGACAATTTCGCAGATCGCAGCCCCCCAGAGATGGCGAGGTCTAATCTGAGTCCCCGTGGGGCCTCACTCCGCTGGGCCCCCCAGCAGCCCTCGAAAGTGGCGACGGTTTCACAGATCGCAGCCCCCCAGGGATGGCGAGATCTAATCTGAATCCCCGTGGTGCCTCACTCCGCTGGACCCACCAGCAGCCCTCGAAAGTGGCGACAGTTTCACAGATCGCAGCCACCCCCAGAGATGGCGAGGTCTAATCTGAGTCCCCGTGGTGCCTCACTCCGCTGGACCCACCAGCAGCCCTCGAAAGTGGCGACAGTTTCACAGATCGCAGCCCCCAAGATGGCGAGGTCCCCGTGGTGCCTCACTCCGCTGGACCCACCAGCAGCCCTCGAAAGTGGCGACAGTTTCACAGATCGCAGCCCCCCAGAGATGGCGAGGTCTAATCTGAGTCCGCGTGGTGCCTCACTCCGCTGGACCCACCAGCAGCCCTCGAAAGTGGCGACAGTTTCACAGATCGCAGCCACCCCCAGAGATGGCGAGGTCTAATCTGAATCCCCGTGGTGCCTCACTCCGCTGGACCCACCAGCAGCCCTCGAAAGTGGCGACAGTTTCACAGATCGCAGCCCCCCCAGGATGGCGAGGTCTAATCTGAATCCCCGTGGTGCCTCACTCCGCTGGACCCACCAGCAGCCCTCGAAAGTGGCGACAGTTTCACAGATCGCAGCCCCCACAGATGGCGAGGTCTAATCTGAATCCCCGTGGTGCCTCACTCCGCTGGACCCACCAGCAGCCCTCGAAAGTGGCGACAGTTTCAGAGATCGCAGCCCCCCCCAGAGATGGCGAGGTCTAATCTGAATCCCCGTGGTGCCTCACTCCGCTGGACCCACCAGCAGCCCTCGAAAGTGGCGACAGTTTCACAGATCGCAGCCCCCCAGCCCCCAGGGATGGCGAGGTCTAATCTGAATCCCCGTGGTGCCTCACTCCGCTGGACCCACCAGCAGCCCTCGAAAGTGGCGACAGTTTCACAGATCGCAGCCACCCCAGAGATGGCGAGGTCTAATCTGAATCCCCGTGGTGCCTCACTCCGCTGGACCCACCAGCAGCCCTCGAAAGTGGCGACAGTTTCACAGATCGCAGCCACCCCAGGGATGGCGAGGTCTAATCTGAATCCCCGTGGTGCCTCACTCCGCTGGACCCACCAGCAGCCCTCGAAAGTGGCGACAGTTTCACAGATCGCAGCCTCCCAGAGATGGCGAGGTCTAATCTGGGTCTGAGTATGACCCCACTCCGCTGGGCCCCCCAACAGCCCTCGAAAGTGGCGACAGTTTCGCAGATCGCAGCCCCGCACAGGGATGACCAGGCAGGAGGCAAGCTGACACGCGGCGACGAGCAAGGTGAGATGCAGGGGGGAAGAGGAAAGGAGGAACGAGGCGGGAAGGAGGAGGAGGAGGAGGAGACGCGACCGCACTGCTCTATTCAAAACGAGTACCCAACGCAGGAGGGTTGGGAAAACACCATGCATCAAAAACTGCCCTGTAGGGTTCGCACGTGGCCCCCCAGACTCCTTTTTTCGCGGCGCGAGGGCGCCCCACGAGCACGCCGCGGAGCGTCGGCAGCCGGCCGGGCGGAGCATCGGCCTCGGGGGCGGCGTTCCTGGGCCTCGGGGGCGGCGCGGGGGCGGCCGGCCCAGGGCAGGCCCGCGCGCCGCGGAGGGCCCACGGCGGGCGGCCCTCGGGCCGAGGCCTGCAGGCCGGGGCCCTCCTCGGGCCCTCGCGGTGCTGCAGGGGGGCCCTCTGCCCTTCGCCCGTGTTCCTCTTCCTGGGCCTCCTGGGAGGCCCTCGTCGCCACCGCTGCGTTCGCCTCGAAGTTCTGGTCAGGACGCACCCGGGGAGAGGTCCAGGGAGCAGCGGTATCGGTACCTTCTGGTCTCCTCGGTGCAAGGTCTCCCAGACGAGGTCGGAGTAGATGGGATCGGAGGATCGCGCCGCATCTCGCCGATGCATCGGCGACGCGGCTGGATGTGGAGCCCGATGTGCTTCGTGTCGACGTCGCCGATGTGTCGCCGACGTCGCCGATGCGTCGCTGGTGCATCGCCAATGCATCGCCAATGCATCGCCGATGCATCGGCGATCTGTCGCGAACCTCCGACCCCACCTACTCGGACCCCATCAAGCAGGCCTCTAGGCCTGCAGGCAGGAGTCCTCGGTGGGCCCTGGGACATTGCAGGAGCGTCCCAAGGCCGTCCCTGGGAAGAGATCGAGGCCTTGGGGGAGCCACGCTGCGAGACCGTCACGACGTCGGCTGTCAGGGGCCCAGGGGGCATTCCTTTCACGCCGGGCGTTTGCACCAAGTTTCGGATCCCAGGGCCCTCAAGGATCGATCTGGCCCTGGAGGCTGCAGAAACGTGGGGCCACGGCCTCCGCTCGTGATTCCCCGCGATGCTGCACCTTCTTCGGCACGTCGCGGATCTCTGCGTCGCCCGTGCTCGCCCCAGAGCCTCGCCGAGCACCTGGGCGCCACTGGGACCCTCGACGCGCGCCGTGCCTCTCCCCCCCGGGGCTGGGCCATCCGCCGCTGCCCGCAGCGCCCGAGGGCACGCCGGCCGACTGCCGGCGGCGGCGACGGCCCGCGCTGGCGCCCAGCCGGGGCCCCGGCTGCGGCGGGGCCCGCCATGGACGCCCCCGCCGGCGGCGACCTGGGCGTGCCCCTGGGCCGGGCGGGCGGGGGCGGCGCCGGGGAGCGGCCAGGGCCGCCCGAGGCGCGGCGCGAGCGGAGCTTCGTGCAGAGCCTCTGGGAGCGCAGGGGCAGCCTCTCGCTGAGCGGCATCATGGAGACCTGGGCGCTCGGGCCCCAGACGCACCGGCTCCCGTTCCGCGTGATGTGGGGCACCAACGTGCTCACCGCCCTCTGCGTGGCCGGGGCCAACTTCGGCATGGTGCTGCTGGTGGGCGCCCTGGTGGACCTGAAGTTCTCGCTGATGAGCTCTGGCTTCGGCCACAGCGCTGCCACGGGGGTGCTCGTGCTCACCGTGGTCTCCACCGCCTATGCCGCGGTCGGCGTGTGCTTGATCCAGTTCATCGCGCCGAGCTGCGGCGGCTCCGGCATCCCGGAGAACAAGACGTACCTGAACGGCGGCGCGATGCCAGGGTTGTTCACGACCGAGACGCTCTGCGTGCGCATCGTGACCAACATACTGGCCAATGCTGCCGGGTTCCCCGTGGGGCGCGAGGGCCCGCTGGTCACCATCGGCAGCAACATTGCGTACAAGATCAGCCGCAGGCTCGCGAAGCCATTCGTCCGGGAGACCGTCGAGCTCTGCGATCAGGAGTGTACTCAGGTCCTCCTCCTTGACGAGCAAAGGATGGCCCACGCGAATCGCATCGCGTGCACGGTTGGTGGTGCCTGTGCGATGACTGTGATCTTCAACGCCCCTATCGGGGGTCTGCTCTACATGTTCGAGGAGGTGACCTCCGTGGCGTGGCATCTGGAGCTCACCTTCCGGGTGTTCGCCAGCACCATGTGCGCTTCGCTCGTCTCATATGGGCTGGTGAGCCTGCTGGGGTCGGACATGGCGGAGTTCGTGATCTATGTGCGAGGGCCTACGGTGAAGACTTGGTCTTGGGCCGACGTCCCAGTATTCATGCTTGTTGCAGCGCTGATTGGCGTGGTGACCTCACTGCACACGCGCGGAATGCTCGCAGTGGCACAGATTAGGCAGCGGCAGAGGGCCACGCGTCAGAGGTGGCAGCCCTACGCCACCATCGCTGAGACGTGCGCCTATGCAGCCCTCTGCGCCTTGCTGTCCACCGCCGTGTCGCTCCTCGGCACCTGCACCGACAAGGGTCAGTCTGGGCTGGAGTACGTGCGGCTGAATTGCCATTCTGGCACGTACAATCCAGTGGCTTCCTTGCTGGTGGCCACCTCGCACAGCTCTGTGAAGCTTCTGTTTTCCGGCAACAACGCAGGAGACATCAGCGCTTCTGCTAGTTTCCTGGCTTTCGCGACCTACTCCACCCTGAACGTTGGGCTGGCTGGACTGCCAGTGCCTGGCGGAGCTTTCACCGCGACGATGCTCATGGGCGCCATGCTGGGCCGGTCGATCGGGAGTTGCGTGCACGAGCTGGGCTACCCTGGCGCGGTATCTGGGGTCTATGCGGTGGTGGGCAGCGCGGCAATGCTTTGTGGTTTCAAGCAGATGACACTGGCGTCGGTTCTGATCGTCGTCGAGTGCGTCAACGACCTCAGCCTTGCCCCTATCGTGATGCTCGGCGTGGCGATATCGATGGCCGTGAACTGGAAGATGAACAGGCGCGGGCACGACGAGGAGGCGATCGCCCGCAAGGGCCTCCCCTTCCTGGAGGGCGAGCCCCCGCACGAGCTGGACCGCACCGAGGCGCGGAGCCTCTGCGACCCCACGCCCGCGGGCACCGTGCTGCCGCCGAGGGCGTCCCTGCAGGCAGTGCGGCTCGCGCTGGGAGAGGCCGAGGCCCGCTACTTCCCCATCCGGTCGCGCTGCCGCGCGGGCCCCGCCGCCCGTCGAGGGTGGTGACCGCAGCGCGTGGCGAGTCGGCGGGGCCTCGGGGTGGCCGCACCGCGCTGGGGCTCGTGTCGTTCTCCGAGGATGTCTGGGGCGACTGGGGCCTCCTGGGTCCCAGAGAACCGTGCAGCGACGGACGTTGCGGTGGGGTCTTTGGAGGTGTCGAGGTCACCGCACGGAGTGTCACCGCACCGTCCTGGGAACGCCCAAAAGCCCTCGGCGGTGGCTTCCTTCACCTCCTGCGCGACCGCGCGCGCCTCGGCGGCCTGCACCAAGGGCCGCCTCCTCGTCGAGCTCTGCGCGGCGCGAGCCGTCGCACGAGAGGCTGCCGACGACGTCGCCTCTGCGCCCGCTTGGCCATGCTGGCGCGCCAAACGGTGGGCCTGGGGGACGGGAGGTGGGGGGGGCGGGCGAGCGCGCGGGGTTGGTTGGTGCTCCACCGAGCCTTTCTGGTTCTTGGTATGATTGCCTGTCCCGAGGGGGAGGATGCCCGGGAGACCTGGTCCTCAGGTGTGGGCGCGTCTCAAGACAGCGAAGCTAATGAAACCAACGAGACAAACCTTGACACCCCATCGACCTGATTTTTTCCATCCGCGGCAGCAGAGGTTTCGACCGCTTCCCGGGGGTATTTTTGCGCCCCAGATCCATTTCTGATGGCCCCAGGGCCCTGACGGCCCCCCGAGGCCGCAATCGAGGAGCCACGCCGGGATGGAGCAGAAACACATTGCCAGAGATCCGGGAACAGGGCCCTGACACACCAGCGCCGCGAGCGCGGTGGCGGATCAGGGAGCCAAACGAGGGGCCCTGGGTCGGCATCTCGGGGGCGGCCTCACCGACCCCTGGCGAACCGTCCCCTTCCGTGACGCCGCCCCCCGCCTCACCCAGAGACGTATGCATGCGGCCGGAGGGTAGTTTTGAAGGCGAGGGTGAGGCCACGGACGGTGCTGGTCACGGAGGGGGTCCGTTCGGCCGCGCCCGAGCATCATCACCCGCGGCAGCCTGGAAAGCGTCCTGCAGGCTGCCGAGGGCGCCGTGCCGGCGGCCGACGCCCCGGAGCCCTCCGGGGACGACAGCATCGTGTGGACGGGCAGCCCTGGCGAGCTCGGCGGCCCGGGCGGGCTGCCGCTCTGGAAGATCATGTCCGAGGCCGCGGTCTATCCACATCCACCGCTTCGGGGCCCAAGGGGCGGGGGTCAATGCAAGCTCGGGTATAGCCAGGACCCCAGGTAAGGGGGACCGGTTAGTAGTAGGGCCCCAGGGCCCTTACATTGGCCAGAATCACTAAACCAGGTCTGCCGTAGCTGGTGTTTTTCGGGTGACGGCAGTTCCGCTTAGTGGAACGGGGCCTGGGGGGCGCCCCCCAGTACACATCACTAAACCAGGTCCCACTAAACCCAGTTCTGCCAACGCCCGACAAGCGGGAGGCAGCCAGGGCGCCCGACCTTGCAGGATCCTGCGGAGAGCGCCGGGCTGCATTCTCCTGGGCCTGCGCGCAGGATCCTGCAGGATCTTGTGGGGTCTTACAGAGCCCGACTGACCCAGGTTTGCGTTGGCCCGGGTCAGTGCGTCCCCGACCACTGTAGTCATGATGTTTCAACCCGGGTCAGTGCTTCGATCGCCAGACAGTATTTCGAGCACCAAGAAAGTACCAACATTTAGGGCACGTGTCGGGCAGACACGGTTCCGATGCTTCATTGGATGCTCGAAATTATTCTTGGGATGTGGTCCTAAAGTGCGATGGGGGCAGCATAACACTGCATGCGGGAGGCGATCTCTCAGGATCTTCCTCCTCCTCTCGTTGTGAGAGGTCACGACGAGAGGTTTTTAGCTATTTTCGGCCTATGCGGGCCCTCACTGGGCATCGAGACCGCCAAACAACGACTTGGGATTAGAAGCTGATCCCGGGTAGTCGATCGAGAACTGGGGGTCGACAAAAACGCGTTGTCGGATGTTCTCTGGGATGTCGGGAGGCGGCGGATAAACAGCTGTCCTCGGGCCATGGAAGGCCCGCAGATGAGGGGTGCCTCCAATCGGGGCCCTGGGAGATGCCGGTCCCGAGCGGCGGGCGTGGACGAGTCCTGGGCCTCGGAGCATGGACCCCACGCCCTTCACCATCGTGGAGGACACGCTGGCCCCTCGGCTGTACGCCATGTTCTCGAAGGCCGGGGAGCGGGCCGCGTTCGTGGCCTCCCGCCAGGGGCAGGTGCTGGGCATCATCTCGCGGGAAGGGCTGATCGCCGCGGCGAGAAGGGCGGGCGCCTGATCCCGCCGGGAA